TTGGTGGACCAAGAGTGGCAAGGCAATACAGTAGAAGAATTGGTGGACCAAGAGTGGCAAGGCAATACAGTAGAAGAATTGGTGGACCAAGAGTGTCAAGGCAATGTAGCAGAATTGGAAGATGGTCTAAAAGCCACAGAGCAATATGACATTTATGAATTTATCCACGAAGATCAAGGGCCAGTTGAAGCAGTGACCAAGCAAGAAGGTTTACGGTACCAAACTGATGACAACGACGAGGAACCTGTTTATGCAATTAACATTGAAGGAGAAAAATCTTCTGATGATGAGAATGATGAGTCTATCATTTCTAGATACTCCATCAGATTTCGACAGGAATATCATCGGTAAGTTTCTTCATACTTCTATAGTTAGTTAGGGTCTGTTTGATTGGAAACTTGGATTCTGTTTTTTGATTTCAGATTCACTGAATCAAATGGATTCAATGAATAAGCATTTGGCAGGATTTTGGAGATTTGTTTTTGAAAACTGTTTTTGGATTCCGTAATCCAAATAGTAGAAATTCTGAAAACGACCTTTTTATGTTTTCAGTGTTTTCAGATTCAGAATTTGAAATTTTTAAGATGCAGAATTACATTAAAAATGATAAATACTTTGATAAATATATTCCTTCATATTATAAACTTTGTTAAAATTAAAACATGTAAAATATAATATATTCTAAATTATATAACCTTGTAAAATAATAATTATACAAAATTCATAAAAAAATGTTAATAAATTAATTAATATAAGTTTAGATTAAACTAAATATTTAGTTTGTAACTACTTCTACTTTACAAATATATTACTAATCACACATTGAATAGTTTTTTAAATTGAGATTCAATTACAAAATCTGCTATCAAAACACATATCTGAAAACAAAGAATACAACTCTGGTTTTCATTGAATTCCTTGTTTTCAAATTTCTGTTTTCCGATTACCAACCAAACGCACCTTTACTATTTCTATTTAGTCTATTATCCTTCATTCCTGTTTTGGTTTGGGATAACTATGTATTTTAGTTTAGAATACTTGTATTAAACCAGAATACTAGGATCCATAATAAAGTAGTGGGATATTTGTTGAGTGATTCTGGACAGTGATTTTAAAATTTCCTTTAAAGAAATTAAAAACATCCTTCAAAATCCTCTTTTCTCTAAATAATCTCTTATAAAACTTGTAATTTCTTAAATTTTTCATTAATTATTTATATATAGAAAAAAATTTACCTGTATATTTCTATTGTGTGCCTCACAAAAAAGACAGCTTTTATTTGCACTTATGCCTTGCGCTCTAAAAAACTCTGATACTACACCTTGTTTTCTGTGCAGTACATGTCCGGAGACTCCTCAATCAAGACGGAAGAAACTACCTTGGACAGCTGAGGAGGAGGAGACACTAAGGGTAGTCTTTTTCTATCTTTTAATTTAATAGAAATAAAGGTGGTATGGTAAAAAATTGTCTCAAACTTTTGCTTATCATGGTTTTGATCATTACTGACTACATAATTTTACCTTTGTGTCACATAAATCAAAAATTTTATTTTTGTTACTTGCTTTAGCTTTTTCATAAGAATTAGTAAGTAAAGCTGTTCACTGGTATTCTCTGTCCTTTTTTTTTTCTCTGTTCTTTTTGCTGTTGGATTTTACGTTCAGTGCATGTCATTATACTTATTTAAGATTTACTTGTATTTCTGCAGGAGGGAGTTCGAAAATTCTCTAGTTCTGTTGATAGAAGTCCAACCATACCTTGGAAAAAGATTTTGGAGTTTGGTAGTACTGTATTTCTGAAGGGTCGTACATCAATAGATCTTAAAGATAAATGGAGGAACTTGTGTAGAAGTCCAAAGTTTAAATGAAAGAAATACTGTCATTCCGGTCAGTTTTCCATAATTATTTACAGTTTTATATTGTTGATGAGATCTGCTCTGGAAGCAAATCAAAAAGTGTTTCTTTATAACCAAATATAATTCTCGACTCGTACACATTACATGAAAAGAAATAATATATATATATATAACAAACAAAAGTAGGATGGATTAAGAAGCTGGAATATATACTTTTTTTAGTAATTAAGAAGCCTCAATCACTGTTCATTTCCTTTTAATTATGAACCCAGCCTTAATTTTATTTTGAAGCCTGATTGTAGCTGCACAAGAAGTCCTTGATGCCATGGAATTCCAATTTCTGTAATCATATTTGCATCTGTAAGTCCTAATTTAAGTCTACTAGTTTTTTCTAGTTGGATTGGATCTACTTTACCTTGGATTCCGCCATAGCTTTTTCTTGCTTAAAGAAATGAAATTTTGATCAGTTATCTATTCAATGTCTTCTATATTAAGGATTATGGTTCCTAGTCTAGGACCTTAGATGGATGTGCTGGCTGGGAACTCTTTATTCTTCCCTTCTTTATTCCATTACTACCCTTTTTCTGAGTGAACAGCCACTGAATCTCAAAATCAAGTCTCTCAAATATTACTGACTGTTGGCTGCATCAAATTTGCATTAGAGTTCAGCTACCATCATGATGTTGCAAAGGAGTTTCAGTGGAAGATTTAACAATAATCTAGTGGATAAACTTTTGGCCTCACCTTCATTTGGAGCTTAGAATCATAAAGATAGCATAATGTTGTTTGCAACTAGTGAAACTAGATCCAGAGCACTCTTTTTTACTGATATTTGACTTGCTTTTATCAGAGTTATGATATGACACTGGTTTTGGCAGTGGGCATTTTTGGGACCATTTTAATTAGATGTGGGTAACACTAACATGTGTTTCTTGGCTTTGGCTGTGGATGGATGAGATTTGAGGAGGAGATTGCATTCCAATTCAAACTCCCAAGAGAGAGAAAGAGAGAGAGAAGGAAGCATAAACATGGGATAAAGCTGAAGAGGGGAGTCTCAAGAATCATGGCTCAAAAACATGTGAAAAAGAAGAGCCCGTGAATGCCAAAAATGAACTGAGGTGACTCATTCTTCACTCTTCACTCTTCACTCTTCAACTCAGATTTCTCCAAAATAGAATCCTATGAACACTGCTCTGTCACACTTCATTTAATTTTATACATCCTTTTTATATTATATCTGTTCTTTGTATCTATATGGCTAGATTAGTTTCAAAATTTCTGGATAATCCACTTCTACTCTTCACCTTTAAAATTGATTCAAATATTTACCATTAACGAAATGGACATGAATAGCATATGTGACAAGTACAAATGATCACTTTCTTGTAATCTTGGTAACTTCCACGAAGCGATGATTCCTTGCGTATGTATGGGTATGGGAACAATGTGCATACCTCAAGATATAGGAGTATAAAGGTCAAAGGGCCGTCGACTCCTGGACAATATAAAAAAAAATGCTGACTCATTAGTGGTAAGTTAGACAATGTTAACATAAACATGAAAGTCTTTTTGATGTCTTGAATCTTGATGATGAAAAATTATTCTGATTGAAGATCTAATAGTCACGTATTTCTCAGTACTTAAAAAGTTTTAAATAGCCCGATTTTTAATTAGCATTTGCACCTTTATTGGGGGTTGTTAGGGAATTTTTTTACTGGTGCATGAGAGCGTGTATTATAAGTGCATGTAACTTCAATAAAACAAATATAATTCGTTGATTATAAAAATAATAATTTAATGGTACGCAAATTTTTTATTGGCAAATTCTAATAATTTTGTCATGAAAACACCTCTTTTTAATGCAGTAAAAATAAATTATGTGACTTTTAAGATACAAAATCAAATTGAGAATTACCTAAAAGATTAAAGACCAGTCAATTTGAATCTAACTGAACTGATTAAAGTATTATCATCTTGATCATAGTTAGCCAAGAGCAAAAATATTATAACATTTGGGATTCCTAGATTCCAAAAAAGAAGTCTAAATATCTTACAATAACCTAGATTCCATTGTAAATAATGGGGACCAACTTTGCTCCAACCACCTCAAAGAAATTCATAGAAAAAGGTTGACATCATTATTTTATGTTAAAGATATTGTACTGACTGCTATGGAATATTTGACAATTCATTATTTTTTTTGAAATATGATCTAATTTTTCATTCCCCTCTTTTAGTTGCACCATATTTAATGGTGGTCAGTATTCATGATGAGATAAGTATTATTCTAAGTAGTTCATACTTTTTGATCTCTCGTAAAACTTGAAGGGTAAAATTCAAATCCTCACCATATTAACATTAAAATAACTTTTTGTCTTTTTCTAAATCACCAAAGCATACCTATAATGGTCACATGGCAACTATATTACAAAAAAAGAAAAAAAAAGGATCTCCAAACGTGACAACATTTAAACCCAAAACTTTGGGCTACATATTATTATATATGAGATATCCCCCGCGCCTTTCACCACATTCTTGCAACCATCTTCATCACTCTCTCCGTCTTCACTCATATCTAACATGGAAACTTCTTCCACAAAATCCCCATTCAAGCCATGGAAGAAAGGCCCCTCCCGGGGCAAAGGCGGCCCCGACAACGCCTCGTGCGAGTATCGGGGCGTCCGCCAGCGCACCTGGGGGAAATGGGTGGCCGAGATTCGCGAGCCGAAGAAGCGCACCAGGCTGTGGCTTGGCTCCTTCGCCACCGCGGAGGAGGCTGCCATGGCCTACGACGACGCTGCCCGACGACTCTACGGTCCCGACGCATATCTCAACCTCCCACACTTGCTCCCAAACTACAACGATTCAAATAACTTTAAACAAGTTGTTAAGAAGTTCAAATGGGTTCCTTCTAAGAACTTCATGGCTATGTTCCCTTGGCCAGGCCATGGGCGTGGGAATTTGATGCTCAATCTTAATGCTCAGCCCAGTGTTCATGTCATTCACCAGAGGCTTCAGCAGCTTCAATCCCGAACTCGCCTTCTCTCTTCTTCCTCTTCCCTTCCTTCACCTCCCCCCAAGGTATTGTTACGTGAGAATTCCTACTATTAATTCTGTCGGTATTTCTATCGATATATGAATGTTAGATATTTGCGGTAATGGGTTAATCGATATCCACTGTCAAATTTATTCCTTCTAATTTAACGAACGTTCCTTGAAAACAAAAAAGTTGTCACTTGATGTTGCTAACTCAATGTGAACTTTAACTTGTATCGGTTTGAATTTTATTTTGATCTTCAAGTAATTTTAAGATTTTTTTTAGTTTTTAAACTTTTATATTTCATTTCATTTTGATTTTTGAATTTTGAAAAATATTTATTTAGTCTTTTTAAGTTTAACGAGACCAAAATAAAAATCTTTAAAATTCAAATACTAAAATGAGATTTAAACAATGAACGAAGATTTGTTTAAACCGTAACAAATGTTTAACTATAAATTTAAATATATATATTTTAAATTTCTTGATTTCCATGATTTCTTTTTACAAATATCTATCGATAAATTCATGATTTTTTTTTACAAATATCTAGATATTTTATCTATACTTTTACATAAATGAGATCTTGAAAAAGGGGTTATTTTAAGATCATGAGATATAAAAGAAGAAAGAAAACATTTCTATCCACATCGATATTTAAAATCTTGTTTCACCCATTTTCTTATTCTTTCTTGTATTTTCTCACCCAGAAAGTACTCGAAAACAAAGTCAAGGGAGGGAAAGAGAGAGATGACGAAGCTTCGGTGGGAGAGACAACAGCGTCAACGACAACGGTAAGAGCATTAGGCGAAGAGAAGCCACAGATTGATCTAAACGAGTTTCTACAACAGCTGGGGATTCTGAAAGAGGAGGAGAAAGTGGGTGAATCAGAAGGAGAGGAAGCCATTGGAGGCTGTTCTTTGGGATCAGAATCTTGTGATTTGAAAGATAATTACAGTGAAGAACTTGAAGTTTTGAGTGACAAAACCTTCAATTGGGATTCCTTTATGGAGATGCAAGACATTATTGGACATGATCATAATCATAATGGAGGAACTGATCATCAAATTAGAAACTTTCAAGTTTATGATTATGTTAATTATTATGAAGATGATCTAAGTTTTCCCACTTCCATTTGGGATTTCCAAGAGGAGTATTCCACTAGATTTTCATAAGTTAAAAAGTATCACTTTTTTATTTCAATTTTTTGCATGAATAATTAATGTATTAATTATTACTTGTGCTTTTTCCGTTGAGGATTTCTTTCTTTTTGGAGGGTTGTATACTTTAGTTAAAATAGTGATGATAATCAATGAAATAAAAGTAATAGAGGCCTATGTGGGAATGAGAGAATTTTTGTTAGAAAAGTTTTTAAACCCATGGCATGTAATTATTTCAAGAACAAATATTCTCGTTCAAGAATAATTACAAAACAATGTAGGTAGGAAAGAAAACAAAAATCTTATAGAAGGCCCATGTATGTATTAATAGAGACCATAAAGTCATTAACCTGCGACAATAAAATTTATTTTCTTTACTATTTTGAAGTAAAGTAACTTGTAATAATATGAACTTAACTCAACGATAATTGGCACATATCTCCAATCAAAAAGGCATGAACTTGAATTCTCACCCCACTTTTACTCAAAATATAAAAAAAAATTATAATGGTCTTTAGCCTTTTCAATTGTGCTGACAAAGGTTAAAAGTAACGATTCTAAGCTTATTTTTCAAAAACAAAAACAAAATAGAAATATTCATTGCATTTTTAAGAAACATTATGCAGAGAAACACAAACCTAGAGACCATAAAATCTCGTCTCAGATTAAGAAAACATAATAACAAAATTTGGCGATCGATGGAACAACTATGCTACAAAGAAACAATGTCTATAATATTATACCATAAATTTTTCCACTGTTAGGAGAAACTATAATTCTACAAATTCCACTTTTCAGATAAACAGTCCCCTCTAGACGAGCCTAAATAGAGACATACGGTGAAAGACCCTGGAGCCATATTGCCAGAATTTCATACTATTCATTCTGATACTCAGAGGCACTAAGATACTCACCATTTTCTTCAAAGTATTCGATTAACCGCTTCAAAAATCCGTCGTGAGTCACCGTATCGGTGTCACAAACCAGACAACATTGCCTTCTAGCTCGAGTAACAGCTACATTCATTCGTCTACGATCGCTCAAGAACCCTACCTGCAATGTTTTTAGAAGAATTTTCTAGTGCAAGTCCTCCAGAATTTGAAATCCATAAATTATATTAAACAAGAGATGATACCTCCTTCTTTGAATTTGAACGGACCATGGAGATGATGATAGCTTCCTTCTCTCTTCCCTGGAACCCGTCAACTGTAGAGATTTCAATATCTCTTAGTTTGTCTTCATTGCTTCTCAACATTTTTAGTAACACAACCTGCAAGTCAGAAAGATTGTAAGGCGAAATACATGTTGGCTCGAACATTGTGCCTAGAAGACTGGCTACTAGAAAGGGTATTGGATTAATTTGATTGGATTTGTTTGTCATATAAGGCTGATCAGTTGTAGAACAATCTGAGTAGAAGTAGAAGGAACCTTTTTACCTGTGCAGCATAAGGGGTGATAATTCCAATATCAGAAGCTTGGACACCACTTTGGATCAGTCTCTTTGCATGAGCCATAGCAACCTCAGCCTCACCTTCATTTAATGTGCTTTCTTCTTCATCCTTCCTTTCTTCCATTTCACACCTGATGAAGATCATTATGAGCCATAAAATTAGACACACAAAGCATTAATATCAACAAATTAGTCATGGTTTAAATACAAGTTTGGTCCTTGTACTTTCTGCTTTGATTCAAGCTTAGGTTCATTTTAGTTTCTGTACGTCCATTTTGATCTTTATATTTTTAATTTCTATTCAAAATGTTCATTTTGATCTTTATATTTTTAATTTCTATTCATTTTAGTCTGTACTTTCAAAGAGTCTGTTTTGGATCCCTTTTATTTTAAAGATGATCATTTTAGTCTCTATTTGTAAAATTTTTTAACTTAAATTTTGTATACAATGGAAACTATTTAATACAAATATATAGCTACATTTCAAGAAATTTAGTGTGTAAAGTCTCACACTAAAATTTTGATTGAAATACATGAAATAAAAATGAAAATGGAGGGAGCAAAATGATCACTTTTTAAAAGTATACAGACCAAAACGAATGTTTCAAAAGTACTGGGACTAAAATGAATTAAAGTTAAAAATATAGGGGCAAAAATGGACATTTTGAAAGTACAGAAACCAAAATGAACCAAAGCTAAGTACTGGGACCAAAAGAGTATTTAAACCAGGCAGTCTTAGACAACCATATTACAATCATCTCCCTTTCCAATAAGGTAGACAATGTATCCTTGCTTATGGCCATTTTGGGTAAAAATTTTATATCTTTTTTGAGTTTGGGCAACCTTCATGCAATAAAAGATGGAACCCCTTTACGTTTTATATCCACGAAGTCCCAAAAAAGGTTCAGTTAAGGATGAAGTGCAATACCCAGCGATGTCTATGAGCAGAAGGGTAGGTTCAGTTGATGGTGTCTTTTTCACATCCTCGAGTTCATAAAGCGTATGTGCAGCAACACATGAATGAGCTTTGATCTGTATTTCAGAGCAATCAAAGTCCATAATTCTCGTGTTCATGAATCAGCCAAACAATTCTAAGTTCAACAAAAGAAAATGCAATCCACAGATCACAAATAGATATGAAACAAGCACCTTACTATCATAAAGCTCTTTTGAGGACCAATCCATGATGAGTTCATGCATACGGTACTGGACAGTAAGCATGGACGTCACCTCATCTCCATACATATCGGCCAGGCGTTCAAATAGGGTTCTTCCCAATCCCTTCTTCTCTGCTTCAACGCTTTGGATTGTTGGAGGAAGCTGAAGATGGTCTCCAGCAAGAATGCATCTTGACGCCTAAAGAAAATATCATCTCTTTTAAATTGTGCTCGACAATATCAACTTTTGAAAGCAAGAAGTTTGTGTTACTTCCAGAAAGCATTCTCCACATGTTATTTTTTTATGGAAAAAGAATAAACTGTGCATTTCAAATAAGATTGTCTTCTTTCAACATTAGATTTACGTTTTCAAGTCGATGTCCCCAAGATAATCATCACTACCAAATAACAAATCAGCTGTTTTTTTCTTCAGATATCTAAGAATATCAGAACTTAAGTGACATGTTAGAAATGTATGAAAGAGAAAATGTAAAGGGAACACGCAATAACATGAAAAGAATATACCAGTACATCCATACTTGAGAAATAATGTGTCTCAACTGCTTTTAGACCGACGACAATATGCATAGTTTAAAGATGCATTGTTAACCATTACCTTTAATAGCGCTATCCAGCATGAAATTTCAAGTGCTTGGGCAGCTTCATCAATTATTACCAAATCAAATGAAGTATTATTCAGTTTGCGAGAGAATGCCCCTGTCAAAGTTGTTAGAACAACATCTGAATTTTTTATTACATCTGTTACCGCTAACTGCTGCCTATTCCGCTCTTCCTTTGACAGAGTTCTAAGTTCCTTCTGGATGTCTCTCCGTGTGTTGCGGTCCTTCGCTTTCAGAAGCTTCCCATTCAATGCCTGAAAAATAGTTAGCTCAGAAGAAGCACAGGAAGAATAACTTTGGAATAAGAGGGGGAAATTATTTCATCAAACTGAAGCGCATGCACTAACAAAGGACTGACTTAGCAAGAAACTCGCTCAAGAAAAAGACCTTCTCTCAAGTGACTGAATATAAAAAAGGAAACAAGGCAAAGTAATACGCCCTTACTCAAGCAAAGGATTTCTCCATTATCAAAATAGCACAGAACAAATTTGAATAACTGAGCTCCGGTCACACAAATGATCTGTCTGAAAGCAGATAAGGATCACTGACTTAAACAAAACCATGTACTAGAATGCCTCGCCTCACTTCAAAACACACAAAAGACCTAGAGAACAAAAGTTGAGACATTCAGAGAGTTATCCAAGAAATCATACTGCTATTCTTGTAAGATAGTGTGACTGTTCGAGTGTTCATCTTTCTTCTCAACCTCTTGTAAGTGCTGAAAAGCTTTGAGAAGAGGGGAAATCAATCCATGAACTTGAAAATCATAACATTTCTTAATATGCTAGGAATTTGAGTGTGCAAACGAATCTTTCTGGAAGAGGATAAAAGCTTTTGAAAACCCGTCGGTTGCTCTATTGACTTGAAGTAGAATTATGCAACTTCTTTGAAGGAAGAAGAAAGAATAAATCATAGTGCACAGTGTCACGGTCGTACATTTTTCAACCGTGCGGCGCCATGATCTAAGCTCGACCATGGCCAGCCTTACGAGGAACTCTAGCTCCAATCCACTTTTCGCGCCCCTTTGTGGCTTCGTCGGACCTTAGGCGAGGTTCTTTCTTCCTCGACCGAGCTTCACTTGCAACAGAATTCTCACTTGTCTCGACAATGCACGTCGCCCGTACGTGTATTTCAACTCTAATGCGACTCTAGCCGACTTGCCTCTACGCTAGGCCAACCCCACGGCTCTACCTTGCCTCTACTCTAGGCCAAGGTCTTCTAAACGCGACGTCGCAACTTGATTTCAACCATCTTGGTTCTCGGCCACTCGGCCTTCCTGCTCCTACGATGAGCCAGGACCTTACCGGGATGAGTTCTGACCCATAACGGGGCTAGAACGAGCTTAAAACGCCAACCGGGTACAAC